CTTTTCTTCCTTCCCATCTTCTTCCTTCACCTTCCCATCTCCTTCCTTCCTTCCCTCCCTCCCTCCCCCCTCCCTCCCTCCAATTAAACTCTGAAGCACGTAATTGGAAATAAATTTAATGGAGACCGCATGCGTTCTTCTCCCCTTGCTCTGAGCATCCTACAAACTCTGAGCTGCTGGTGTCGGCAGCTGGGAAGCCCCCAAGGGTAGCGACCCACCCGGGGGAAGGAGTGGGGGGGCTGCACATTTGAAGTGCACTTTAGATTAAGTGCTCTCAAGCTTCAACACCCACAATGGAATTCTCCGATTACCAAGCCAAGATTTTAAAAAACGGGGAAACAGCCCGGTGCGCAAAGTTCACCGAACCCGTTTTTATTACAAGCGGAATAAAATCCGAGAGTTTTTTTCCGGCCGCCCCAGAGATCCGGCCAGGCGCTATTTCCGTGATAAAAAAGCTGTCAGGGTTTGTGATCTTTCCTCCGTGGGACCCATCGACGCCCCCCCTTAATTGCTCGACGGACGAAAATCAGCCCATCCGTACAAACCACCATCGAGGTAACCCACTTAGTCCCAAACCAGGAAGGAGCGCTTTCTGGATACCTACCCACGCTGGGCGACCAGGCGCCGTAGGCTGGCGTGGCACCTTGGTTCCACGGGGTGGTGGCAGGGGACACCCCGCCCATGGGGCTGGGCGCAGAGCCGAAGAACATGCCGGTAGCTGTAAGGGAAGAGGAGAGTGAGCAGGACCGGCACCCCTGAGGAAGAGGCTGGAGCAGCGGAGGTGCTGGGTGCAAAAGGCGCACCTGGCTGGCCCCAGATGTTTTCCTCTCCCAGATGTGGAAGGTGACCCCGACGGTTAATTATAACCCCTATGGGGCTGGAGGATGACCCTGGCCTTCCCCAACCCAAGGCCCTCCACGCGGGTCAAATTTGATGCCGATAAAACAGATTGTAGGTAGTCCTCGGCTTACAGCCGTTCGTTTAGTGACCGTTCAAAGTAACATGGCCCTGAAAAAAAGCGACCAAGGACCGTTTTTCGCACTTAAACCTCTGTTGCAGCATCCCCGGGGTCAAGGGATCAAAATTCAGATGCTTGACTCGCATTTAGGACGGCTGCAACGCCCCTGGGGGTCACGTGATCCCCTTTTGCAACTTTCCGACAAGCAAAGCCAATGGGGGAAGCAGCGATTCGCTTAACGGCCACGTGACTAACTCAACGAATACAGCGATTCGCTTAACAACGGTGGCGAGAAAGGTCGCAAAATTGGGTCCCCTTCCTCGGATACCCCCCCCACAAGAGAGGCGACCAGGACTTACGCCCCCCGACGCCCAGCCCGGTGATGTTGGTGGGGATCTCCATGCCGAATTTGCATTTTTCCGCGTCCAAAAGCAGGTCGAAGCAACCGGTGCCGGCCGGCGCCAGCTGGCCCAGCATGATGTTTTCCGAGACCCCCTTCATGGGGTCGCTCTCGCCATGGGCGGCCGCCTCCATCAGGACATCGACCTGGAGAAGGTAGTACGAGCCCCATGGATGGTATACGGGCCACAGGACCACCATGGAGCAAAGGTCTTGGTCCCAACCCCCAAACATTTGGGGGGGCAGCTGTGCCAGTTGGGAGGAGGGGTCAAGCGAGGAACTAGCCTGGACTCACTACGTAAAAACTAGAGGGCCTGCCCCACAGAAGACTCTCCTTTCCTGTCCCCTTCTCTCCCTCAGGCCTGCCCTGCCCCCACAGAAGCCTTCCTATTCTCCTCTTTTCTCCCACAGGCCTGCCCCACAGAAGCCTCTCCTATTCTCTTCTTTTCTTCCTCAGGCCTGCCCTGCCCCACACAGGCCTCTGCTATTCTCCTCCCCTTCTCTCCCTCAGGCCTGCCCTGCCCCACAGAAACCTTCCTATTCTCCTCCCCTTTTCTCCTTCAGGCCTGCCCTGCCCCAGAGAAGCCTTCCTACTCTCCCCTTCTCTCCCTCAGGCCTGCCCACGGAAGCCTTCCTATTCTCCTCCCCTTTTCAGGCCTGCCCTGCCCCACAGAAGCCTTCCTATTTTCCTCCCCTTTTCTCCCACATGCCTGCCCTGCCCCACAGAAGCCTCCCCTCTCCTGTCCCCTTCTCTCCCTCAGGCCTGCCCCATAGAAGCCTTCCTATTGTCCTCCCCTTTTCAGGCCTGCCCTGCCCCACAGAAGCCTCTGCTATTCTCCTCGCCTTCTTTCCCTTAGGCCTGCCCTGCCCCACAGAAGCCTTCCTATTCTCCTCCCCCTTTTCTTCCTCAGGCCTGCCCCACAGAAGCCTTCCTATCCCCTTCTCTCCCTCAGGCCTGCCCCAGAAGCCTTCCTATTCTCCTCCCCTTTTCAGGCCTGCCCTGCCCCACAGAAGCCTTTCTATTCTTCCCTTTTCTGCCTCAGGCTTGCCCCACAGAAGCCTTCCTATCCCCTTCTCTCCCACAGGCCTGCCCTGCCCCACAGAAGCCTTCCTATTCTCCTCCCCTTTTCAGGCCTGCCCTGCCCCACAGAAGCCTTCCTATTCTCCTGCCCTTTTCTCCTACGGCCTGCCCCACAGAAGCCTTCTATTCTCCTCCCCTTCTATCACACAGGCTGGCCCCACAGAAGCCTCTCCTAGTCTCCTCCCCTTTTCTCCCACAGGCCTGGCCTGCCCCACAGAAGCCTCTCCTATTCTCCCCTTTTCTCTCTCAGGCCTGCCCCACAGAAGCCTTCTATTCTCCTCCCCTTCTCTCCCTCAGGACTGCCCCACAGAAGCCTCTCCTAGTCTCCTCCCCTTCTCTCCCTCAGGCCTGTCCTGCCCCACAGAAGCCTTCCTATTCTCCTCTTTTCTGCCTCAGGCCTGCCCCACAGAAGCCTTCTTATCCCCTTCTCTTCTACAGGCCTGCCCTGCCCCACAGAAGCCTTCCTATTCTCCCCTTTTCTGCCTCAGGCCTGCCCCACAGAAGCCTCTGCTATTCTCCTCGCCTTCTCTCCCACAGGCTGCCCCACAGAAGCCTCTATTCTCTTCCCCTTTTCTCCCTCAGGCCTGTCCCACAAAAATCTCTCTCTCTATTGCCTTCTGTCCCTCTCACTCCACTCCCTTTCCCGCCAAAACCGCTTTTTTATATCCTCTCCTCTGCTCCCCCATCAGCTAAACCACTGCCCGGCTGGGTGTGCTGATTCTGGGGTCTCCGCCAAGCCCCGGCCGCCCCAGCTGACTCTGCCCCAGGCCTCTCTGGGGCTGTCGCTGCTTCAACTACCCCCCCCTACATACTCAACACTTTCTCCTACTAGTCTGCTTGTGGGCCCTGAGTCTGACATGTCTGCCTTAGAGCCTTATCTGGTCTTTCCAGGCAGAAGCAGCAACGCTGGGAAGATTCTTGTATCAGAGGCTTAAAACAATAAAGTAGATTGTTTGAGCTCTACACAGGAGGGCCTGGTCGTCCGCGCCCGACACAAACTCACCGTCTCTTCGAAGGAGCACTTCATGAGCGGCCCCGTGTCCTGGCGGTTGACGCCGTGCCGCGTGATGGCCATCAAGTGCCCGCGACAGGTCATGGTGTCGCAGAGCAGGGCCAAGTGGCGATAGTTGACGTAGGAGCCGTCAAAGGAGATGACGTGGTACAGCTCCCGTTCCAGGGCCTTCCTCACCGCCTCGATTCCCAGCACCTAAGTAACGAAGGAAGACGGATTCTCCAGGTTGCTGCCTGGCCCGCTCCGAGACCTTCTTTATCCCAACCCCAAAGGAAACGCCACGCTGCTTCGGGTCTCACCGTGAAAATCTCCACGATATCGTTGGAGGTGGTGCGCACGGGGTCCACGTCTTTCTCGCTCAGCACACGCATGAGGCTCACGCCGTCGGTTTCCAGGATCCATTCCTGGAGGGCTTTGAACTCGCCATCTTCAGTGATTATGATTTTCTTCTTGTTGTCGGTCTGGGGCAGGTGCATGTACACCTGAGAAAGGAGGAGGAGGAGGAGCAGGCTGGTGAATCAACAAGGCCAGTAACCCTGGTGGGATGGGGGAAAGATAAGGACTTTCTTAGGAAGGGGAGGGAGCTGTTAGGACAGGCCTCCTGCCCTCACCTTGCTGATCTGCTCAATGCCTTGCAGGGTCATGTCCGTCAGCATGTTGGATTCGATGCAGCGCAGGAAAACGTCGTCGTCCATCTTATCCACCACCTCTTCCTCCTAAGCCACCAGAGAGGAAAGATCTCTCATGTACCACATCCAGTACAAGGCAGGGGTCTCCAACCTTGACGACTTTGCGACTTGTGGACCTCAACTCCCAGAATTCTGGGAGTTGAAGTCCACATGTCTTAAAGTTGCCAAGGTTGGAGACTCCTGGTGTAAGCGCGGTGACAACCACTATGTAGGATAAACAGGCAGAAGACTAGCAGACCGCATCCATGAACACCAATTAGCACATGGACAGACTTGACCATAGTTTCAGTTGGGTAATTGACAGTATCCTAGACCGAGCCAAGTCCAAACATGCTAGGGAATTCCTGGAACTCAAGACAAATTAGCCATCAACAGGCACATAAGAGATAAACCACGTTTACACACCATTCAAGAGACAATAAAAACAACAGCATGCAGTGCAAGGATTGCAACTGCCACTGTGTAGAACAAACAGGCAGAAGACTAGCAGAGCACATCCATAAACAGTTGGAAGTCACAATGAAGACTCTCACAACGCATGGGCAGACTCTGTTGTAGTTTCTACTGTGAGCATCGTAGACCAAACGGAATCCAAAAACTCTAGGGAATTCCTGGAAGCCTCGCACTCAATCAGCCATCAACAGACAGCTAGAGATTAACCACGTTTACACACCATTCAAAAGAGACTTTAATAGTCTACAGCATGCAATGTAACGACTGTAACGGCCACTCTGTAGGACAAACAGGCAGAAGACTAGCAAAGCACATCCATGAACACAGTTGGAAGACACAATGAAGACACTCTCACAACGCATGGGTAGACTCCACTATAGTTTCAACTATGAGTATCCTAGACCTAGCTAAGGACCAAAATTCCTGGAAACCTGGTATCAAACTACATAGGATTGCTAGCACAGCCATGAACTCGACCCTCATTGGTTGGTTGGTAAAACCAAGGCTGTCTTTGGCTCAAGAACACCCACCCCAACCTGGCCCAGAGGTCATTTATTTATTTATTTATTTATAATTTAATTTATACCCCGCCCTTCTCCTCATGGGACTCAGGGCGGCTAACAGCCTCATAAAAACTACAATACAAATACAATAATTAAAAGCCGAATTAAAAAGAAATATTTAAACAGGCCGATCAATTAAAATTATCCTTAAAAATCCCCTGAAACTTTAAAATCATTAAAAATT